CGTTCTTTCCGCGCCCCGCGTCTTTCGCTGCAAACTTCCACTTGGAACGCCTTAGAAAACCGCAGTCCCATGATTTATGGAGTACCCCGGCGACGTTTGTTGCTTCGGAACCATGGACGCGGATCGTTGCAACGGCCGATACTGAAAATCGCTTCCCGTTGCAACCCGCGGTTCCCGCGAACTTTGTCCGCCGCCTCGAGGAACGCTGCTTTTTAGCGCGCGCGATTATCTCGGAAAATCCGGCTCTCGTTAAATCTGCATTAATGAGCGCGCGATTTAGACGGCGCGCGAGATTTACGATCGCGACGGTGAGAAATGGGTGGAAAGGCGAATTCGCGAGGAGTTCGGTAACGGGGAAACGTTTTCCCGGTTTCCGTGCACCGAAGGCCTCCGCCTCGGTTCGCACGGACCAACCGGTTGCGCGATCCAGCGATCCCGGGATCGGGTATGATTGTCAGTGTGCACGTCGCAAGTACCGTGCACCTTTCCAAGATGCAAGTAGGTTGTCGCTACGATATTTACCCCGTGCACGGTCCCAGGGGTCCGCGTGCGTCAGCGACACCTGGTCGCGAACGTTGTTCTTTCCGTAAATCGCGAAACGATCCCCGTCTTTCATTAGGCAGTTAGCCAGCTTTGTTTTCAGCGCGTAAAAATTCTAATTAGCCTTCGTAACAGGCCGTAATTACGTAATTTATGAGCTGTCGAGTCCGGGAACGGTGGTAAACTCGCGCCGTACATGGCCGTGGATCGTTAGGGCGACGAATTTGCGGTAATATCGGTACCGAGAAGCGATCTGCCGCTTAAATTTCGACCATTATCGCCCCGGCCGCGAAACCTAGACGTATTCCGCGAAACCTCCGAGATTGCGCGTTTTACGACACGCGTTTAGAGTCACTTAGCTCGCTGTTCCTATTGGTTTTGCGCCGACGATGATTTTATCGTTTCCAAATTGTGTTTGAACGACCTGGAAGGCTGTGGTTACGCGAATTGCCAGCTGCCGGCGTTAATTGCGGGCAAATGCGTATAATCTGCTCGGGATTCAACTGCGCTCGCTTGTTCCGAGCCGACCGACTTACCCCGTTCTTGCTCCCGTTACGAACGAATCGTCGTTTCCGATACGATTCGATGCGATTCGTTCCGCGATACGCTTCCAAATCAAAGGACTTTGAACGCGAACGACCGGAAACGATGCGTGTTCGACAGACATAGCGGCACGAGCGAATTGCCTCGGCTGCAGATTAGAAATCGAACGGTTGTCGGCGTGAAACGTGCCTTAAAAACCGTGGATAGGCGCTAAAATAATTACCGCGCAACCTATTCGCAGCTATGCGTCGACGAAGGCGTTCCTCGTAGATGGCTCTATCGCGAGCGATAATGAGACCGCGTTGTCTGCCAGGTAATACAGTTCTCACATTTCTGCAACATTCAATAAGGCCGAATGGTGTAACCTTACATCCACGACCCCCCGGCTCCCGTTGCCACCCACCCCTGGCTGATCCCATGTGAAAATTCAGCCAGTGTCTCTCTCGCGAAGAGAGCCCGCCGAAAACCGCAGTCCTTGCGAAACCCAGCTCGGCCGTTCGACGAGTTTTGTAATTTTTCATCGCGATCAGCCTCGCACGACCGCCACTCCTCCGTCTATTCTCCGTTATCGAGATTTCAACGTCGGGAATGCCTGATCGGGCACGCGCCCTTCCCCGATCGGCCGCGAAAACGCCTCGATTCGCGGAATAGCTCGCGAGTTGCGATTTCTCGGGAAACTCACGCCAAGCTTCGATCCTCGTTCGCAACAATGAGTACCAAGATGGTGACAGACGCGATAGAATGCACGCGTAAGTGGATGAGGAAAAATTGGAACGCGCGCCGAAGGTGGGTCCGCGGTTCGTTTGACATTTAATACTCCGCGGCCAAAGTGCGCTAACATTCACGGGACCTGTATTATTCGCCTTTCTAGAACGTTTGAAACACCTCTCGTCATCGGCCATGACGCTCGGTCGCATTACGCTTTACGCGAACGTCGAGCAAATGTCAGAACTCGGTACGAGATCCGCCAAGGATTAAAGAGGATTGCTCGCGAAATCGATTAGGCGATGCGAGATCGCGACTCGAATCGCGAACCTGCGTGACTACCGACGACCGCGAAGTCGCGCAGAGAAATGTTAGATTCGAGGGATCATAGATCCAAGAAAGAGAGTCGCGAGAGCTTCCAAGATGGAACAAGGGGACGGGATTTTGGAGGTCGGCTGGTCGACGAGGACGTCGACCTCGCTACAGTGGCAAGGACGCTGTTGGTCTGGCGGAAGGTCGATTGGGAGAATGGTGGAGGGAATAGGAAGCAAAACAGTGCTATACAATTTTCTTTCAAAATGGTTCTGACGAGTCAAGAGGACATAACTTTTGAATCTAACAACGTTTCTACTCCTGTGGACCACGGTTCTAGGACATGCAGCCTACCGAAGTGTCTAGGTACATTTTCTTGGCAACTCAATTTCCGGAATCAGTCGAAAAGGAATACTGATCCGCAGGCTCGAACTAACCATCCTCTCTTACCTTCTACCTACATTCTCGGACTCGAGAGAGTCCATGAAAATGGCAAAGTCTATGCAATACTCTGTCTGCGACGACAGAGATCTGTTCTGTGTAAAAATAGGAGCAATATTTGGGCAAAACGGGTATCAAAGCAGTTTCCAATTCCGGTCGAAATTCTGGTTTTCATCGGTCCTCGAGATCCGTATTGGCACGAAGATTGGCCTAGTCCCGCTCTGCCGACAGCTGGTTTTCCTCGATTTCGATTTTTCCCGGCGACCTTGGTCTCGGTTAGTCGATACTTTCAATGACAGCGGGAAGAGCGCCAGGCCTCGTCTCTTTACTCAACGACGCTGACGAGGACGCGTGTCGCCGCGACGCTCGGTACCTATCTCCGACGACTAATTCGTTGCCGATTGACTAGGACGATGATCGGATGACAGCGTGGATTAATAGAATTCGCGTGGCCTTTCGCGTTGCGAAAGCCGCGTGTGATTCATGTGCAGCGATTTAGCGAGGTCGGTTTATTAACAAGGTACGAAAGTAAAAGCCACTTGGGCGGGGAGGATTGCATCTGTTTTCTTGTACGTTTGCCAAGGGCTGACACGTTGATCGCGCTTCGTGGCGCACCAGTTTCCACGATTCCGTATAATTTCAATTAGCCGAGCACTCGCGATGTGCCCACGCGCGTTGCGAGCGGCGTCCATTGCGCGCCGCGTTAGGTCGCCTAATAGAAAGTACCCTCGCGGTTATAAACCAGGCCACTCGTTTTTGCGCTCCCGGGCGCAAAGAAAATCACCAACGTACGTCGAACCCTTGCCGCATGACTTCGTATTATACTTGCAAAATTGAAAGTGTTTACAGGGAACGCCTCGGAATTGGAAGGCGAAGGTTGCGGAAACGATGCTCGCTTTTTCTCCATTTTCTTTTCGTTAACGCCATACCCACGCGTCGTTAGGCAGAAAAGTTTCGTGTCGAAAACGACCTTCGTCCGTTTCTTTGCCTCCTTGAGTAATTAAGTACCCGAATGTGTAACACTCGCACCATCGCGAGATCGATATCGCAAAACACGTCGTTTCCCCGAATTATAGCACTCGTAATCAATCTTAACGCTAAGCCTACAACGTTGAAAATGTTTAGAAAGGAAATAGAACACGAGGAGATATTGAAAAATCTTAGAGAACAGTGATCAAAGCGATAAGACTGAATGGGAAATTTTTCACGAAAAATTGAAGAATCTCGAAGCTGAGTTACGCGAAAAGGTCACACGATTCTGCGCCTGGTGAAAGAATAAATGTCAACCTTACGAAAGAATTGGATTTCCGACCCGATCCTCGATCAACCGGTCTTGATCTAATTAGACGCATTCCCGGGGATCGATCGTGTCTATGCGTTATTACGCGAGCCTTAGCGGTTCCGACATAACCCGCGTCTCCAATTACGGTTGCTTAATTCAGCCGGTAACGAATGACCCCCTTAGTCCTTTACATCGACGCGGAAAAATTCATTACCGGTTTCGCGCTATCCCAAGATGCGCGAAGCCTAATGACAATTATGCAATCGTTCTGTTATTCCTTTTCTCATGGGAAGGCGAAGCAGCACGCCGACGGTTGGACTTTCCGTGGTTTCACCGCGCCTTGTTGCTGATTCCGAGGCAAAAACGTTGACCCAGAAATGCTCTCGATGCACGTGGTTTCCATCGCTTTCGGGGCAACAATTGGGAAAAAGTTGGAAAATAAATAACGACTTTCGACGGTTCCGGTCGGCTTCGTTCGCCAGTTTTTCTGGCCCATCGTGACCATTTTCGAATCTCGCGGCGGCACAGCCGGACCGGGGACCGAGGATCGATCGATCTCTGGATGGAAAAGGATTCGTGGAACTCGCGGGTCGCAGCGTTATCGTGGATGCAGACACGTATTCTCACGTCGAAAGTACAAGGCGGAATGGCGCAAGTCACGTTTGCAACAAATCAATTCGTCGTTCCAGCAGTGGCGCGGTCCCACGATGAAATTGTGCCAGAAAGCTTTAGTGGGATAATCGAATCCGCCGGCAGGCGAAACAATGGTGGAACGTAGGAACCATTTTCAACGATAGCATGCTATTTAGCCGGTAACAAAGTGGCACCGCAACCGCCGCGGCACGCAACGCGTCTCTCTGTTCGCCTGTGTCCCCCCTGACGAAACAACGCCATTACGAAAATTTGGCGCCAGATTTTCAGCGCTGTTTACTCCTCTCGTAAGCGTCGATCCGAATTTACAAAACATTCGCGTGCGGTTGCTCGAGTTTCTCGCACGCGCAAGGTCGGCCAAAAATCCGGTTACACTCCGCGTTATGCAATCCATCGCTTGGTGTACCGCTCACGTTCCAGTATCCCAAGCTATCGATCGGGATACCGAACTCGGGTCTACCTGGCTCGAATTGGTTTATAGGCTATATCAGCGGGAGAATTCATGAATTTTCTCTTCCGGTCTCAGGTTGCCAACGAAACCCCATCCCGAGAAGCGCCAGGGCGAGCAGAAACGAAGCTGCGTTGGAATTCGAGTGTCCCGAGGAGTTCGGGTATTACCCTCATCCGCGTGACTGTACTCAGTACTACGTGTGCGTGTTCGGTGGTGCGTTACTCGAGTCCTGCACGGGTGGATTAATGTACAGGTGAGTATAATCCTCGCAGGTTCTCCGATGTCTGCCATTCGCCGATTTTAATCCGCGAAATGCCCGCAGAGGAGCGTTCCACAGCGTTGGTCTCTCCGTCCAACCATAAACGCAGGATCGGTCTTTGTCGCTGGCACCGCCGCCGCGCGTTTCCGCGAATAAGCGGATAATTGATCGGAAAGGCACGATAACGCGTGCGAATGGGCGGGTAAATCTAGGAGCAGGAACGTGGAAACGATGCCCAGCCGGTGGACTAATATGGGCAGAAATTAGCAGCGCGCTGGATTGAAACGCGGACGAATAATGCGAGGCGTTGGATCGAAAGCGAAACGCGGTATTGTCGACCAGATATAGACAGGCCTAATGGACGTACTCTCCTGTATTCCCAGGGCCCGTGTATTGCGAGATTCCGCGGAGATTTCTATTTCTTGTCCGCCTCCAGGCCCGAATAGAGCTCTTGCCGAACCTCGGATGCCCGCCGACAGGTTACAAGGCTCCTGGGATTAGGCGTTTTCGATAACACCGAATGGACATCGCTGTCCCGTTCCAATGGGAATTTAAAACGCTCGAAAACTGCCGCGTAGGTGTACGTTTCGCGGAATTTCTTGTAACGTACGTGTCATATGGAATAATAGAATTCCGTTTGCGCGATGGTTCGTGTAACGGTTTGGAATCGGCGATCGAAGAAACACGTCGCGAGTGGAAATGCTGCGTAATAGTGGGCGAGTAGTATAAACGTTGACGAGTTGCCGTAAGTGTTACAGGAAGCCCGGGTAAACGACCTCTCTTCCACGGGCTGATCTTAACGCGCGAATTTTCCATCCGGCCATCAACTCTGAACGTCAGAATCGAAATTTCGACCATGAACGTAAATCCAGACCACGTCTACCGAGGAATAATAAAGTTCACCGTGGATCTCTCGCGGTATACGAGCGTCGCGCGCAAACGGAATCTCTGAGTCTAGGACGGGGGCGTCAGAGGACGCGATTACGATCCTGCTTCGCTTTCGATCTGGATTTACGAGGTAAAAGGGGGTCGTAGCCGTACGCATAATCCTGGAAAAAATCAGCCTGCCACACCTCTCTCCGTACGACAGCGCGTACAAACGAGTTCGCTATAAAACCGGCCTGCATGGCCTAACGTACACGCGGTTATAGCGTGTCCAATTAAGGGTGCTGGCGAACTTACTCGAAACGCGATTCCGAATTCGGTCGGTCTTTGAAAATCTTCCGTGCACTCTGCCGATCCACGTAACGAGATCAGCAAAGCCTTTTCCAACCCCGAGTTCTCCGCGCGGGGTACATTTAGAGGGGATGTTCCGCGCATCCCTCAGAGCGAGATTACCCTGTTCGTGGTAGCGATTAACGAAGGGTAACGATTATTATCGAGACTCCCGTTGCTTTCTTTTCCACAGTCACGAGTTACAGACATGCGATTGGCCACGTAACGTAGGCTGTCCCGGAGGCGGATCTCCCAGTAAGGAAACCGAAGAAGATCCGCTGTTGGAAAGGTGAGTTATCAACGCGATTACGTGTCACTGGTAACTATTACACACGTGGGTTACCGTACAGTCTGACTATTTCGCTTATTTCAAGTAACGACGCTTTTTCCTCCGAGGGAAAAAGCGATCCAATTTACTCCTGTTCGCACGATCGATTAGCCAAGAGCAAACGGTTCCCAGCATGATCGGTTCGAACGGCCTTCGGCGAGCTACGTCCACCCTCCATCCGTATCGCCGGACGTCCGCCGATTGCGTAACGAGGAATCGATCGTGTTCTTCACCCGCGATCGCTGTTGCTGTTATAGCTGGCGAGAAGGAACGAGACAGACACGTATCGGCGAAACGATCCGGTGGTATTTTTGCACTGCTCGAAACTATCGCGGAGGCACGAGTTTGATCAACGCGACCTGGCTGCACGCGAGAAAACAGCGGCAGTGACGTCGAGAGTGGAACAATAAACTAGACGTTGATCGACCGCGATTAACTCCGTTACGATTTCCTCCGTCTTCCTGTTTAGCGTTAAAATTCACGACGGAGCACAGCTCGCCAAGCCGATTGCCACACGTCGGTCTTTTCTTCTCTTCCTCTCGCTTTCCTCGTGCCTCCTCCGTCACCTCGGCGTGCTTTGCTTCGTTACGGTCCTGCGGATCCTGATCCAAAGAATCGCCGAAGCGGTCCGGTTACGCGTTAATTCTGCCGTTCACCAACGACGTGCAGACTCGTTGCCGAAAGGATTAAGCGGAAACCTGGCGGATTCGTTGTATAATCGAGCGCTAGCCTACAATGAACCCGGGCCTCCCACTCTCTCCGCTGTTTCTCGCGGAGAGCACTACTCGCCTCGGAACCGGGTACGACTTCCCTTGTGTAAGGAGAAGTTAGGCAACGAGCGGTCGCCGGTCGCTCATTAACGTATTGTGCTCGAGGTAATCGGGGAAAGAGGCGATTTCCCAACCGGTACGCCGGTTCTTTTCGTCTCCAACCGTCTGACCGGCGTCCTTGCCATTCCCGGCAACGCGCGTTTTCGTTCGAAACTGGTTCGATCGGCTCGCTCGATCGGTAACGTTAATCGATCGTTCCGACCCGCGAGTCGATTCGCTCGAACTGGCTCGATCGCCGCGGAGGCAAACTTTTACCTAGTCCTTTTACCTCGATGAACTTTCGTTCGACTTCGTCCCAGCCCGCCGTTCCACGCGAGACTTTGCGAAATGCCGGAGATCGACAAAATCCCGTGAAACGGCCGCAACCTCGCGGTAACGACGATTAATCCTGTCGCAATCGTTTCCTCGAAATCCCGCAGATCGGCGAAGATCGAGAGCCTTCAGGAGCAGCAACAGCAGCAACGATCGCAACAGCAGATCCGGGAACAGCAGCAACAACAGAGACGCGAACAGCAGCAGCACCAGCAACAGCAACAGCAATTGCAACCGCGACCTGTTCAGAGGCAACAGATTTCTGCTACCACCACCCCACCGCCTGTACCCCAGATCACCGAGAAGCAGATTCGTCAGAGGCAACAGGCCAGGAACTATCACGAGGACGAGTACGAGCCAGCGTCCGAGATCGAGAGCGACAGGCAGCAGCGAGTCTACAGAGGACAACCTTCCACGATTGGTCAAGTTCAACGAGACAGGGATGGTCTGAGGAGAAACGTGATTTCCGTGAGTTCCCCTCGTGCCCCGTTCATCTCGAATTTCTCGCCAGGCCCGAGCGGAATGTCCGATTCCCTCGCAATCGTCTTGGTCCCGTTGCTTCGAAAACAACACCGTCGACTATCCATCGGTTTGCCATTTGTCCGTAACGTTTGACAAGATAACTATAGATCAATTAGAGATAAACGCAGGCCAATTGCCCGGTCGCTGCGAGCGCCCGAGCCGGTTGGCCAAACGGGAAAGTCTACGTAGCGTGAAAACGGGGACGCAGTAGACTCGAGTTTGTACGAATTTCTCCGTTAATTTCGGGTCCTGGGTCTACCTGCGCGTTGCGTAGAAAATAGCCTTGGTCGCGTGAATTCCACGCGTGAATTCCTCGCGCGAGTGTTGCCACAGAGGTGCCAAGTCGATTAGCGTCCGAGAGGGAATGACAAATCCGAGCAGGACCGAGGCACGGGCGCGACGTGAATTAATTTCTCAATTAACGTCCCGCAGGAAAGAGAGAAGGAGAGCCTGGTGAGCACGCGTGCCCAACCGGAAGCCCATTACAGGTACGTAAAATCGGCTTTGAAATCGGCCCGGCCAGCCCTGCCGCGGCGCGCGCCACGACCTTTTTACTCGATTTCTCTTTCGCCGTGGGCTCCTTTAATTCTCCCGGTGGCTGCTTCGCCTTTACGTAACGTCGATCCGTGACGTTTTTTCCGAGCTTCGAACACCGATTATCTCACGAAATAACTCTGGCTGCCGGCGTCCATTTAAGATAACTCTCACCGTTGATAAGTGTCCCCTTAAATGGGGACTCGAGCGTGTGGTTAACCGTGTGTGTTGCGCGTGACACAGGACGCAGGTACCATCCTCGGAGTCGCCGAGGGTCGCCAAGATCCTGGCCTCCACCGTCGCCCCTGTCATCTCCAAGTCGTACTACAACGACCCGGACCAGAGTTATCCGTATTACACCATCTACGACGAGGACGTGTCGATTTACAAAGACGACGGTAAGGTAACCGTTTACGTAAATTCACAGCAAATTGCAGTTTTTCTCGAAATCTCGCCGATTTACCGAGCCGGTTCACCCGGCCGGGATACCAGCGATCTTTCACGCTCGCGATTACGGCGTGTAATCGTTAACGTTTCCCTGGCTAGATTACAACCAATACACCGTGAATCAATCGGTACCCGTTCAGCCGAGTGTCAAGATCAGCGAGGTGAGCGCGAAGCAGTACCAAAAGCCAAAAAAGGTCGCGGTGAACGAAGCGGACAAGTACAACCTGAACCAGGACGTCACGGTGCAGGACTACGATATCTACGAGAACCAGGTAAGATGGAAAGTGTTTTGCTGCGCGTTTAGAAAGGAACCCGACGTAAATCGCGAATCACAACTTTGTCGTTTTTCTGTTTCCCCGCCGTGCGCCGGGTGTCCAGGCTCAGCTCAACAAGAACAAGTTCCGCATTACCGAAGGCCAGTCGTTCAGGTGAGAAACCTCTTATTAATCGAAACGGATCCATTGGGAGTTACGCGGACGATCGTCCACGTTTGTCGAACCTTCGCGCTCTCTCCTCGAGCGTGAAGCGACGAGGAAATTGCCGTTGTAATCGCTCGAGCTCCTAGCCTTGGGCTTTCATCGCTGTCTCCTCGCTATTCTTGTAAATTACGTCTCTCGGAGACGTGCAAGACCATATCGGCGTATCCTTGCAGCATCGTCGAAGATCCACCGTTGATCGATATCCCGCGAGATCCAGCGAAATCCGTGTTCGCGTAAACGAGCCGACTTATCGATCGGATCTCGGCCTTAAAAATAGTCGCGATGCAGGGAAACGCGCGAGCTGGTCTAGATGACCGGTCGCGTTGATGCGTTTATTCGAAGCGGCATTCGTCTTCTGGATTCCACGTACAACTCTCTCGCAATTTAAACTAAATTTAGATTCCAATGACGAGGAGCGCGTAAAGCGACAAAATCGCAAGCGTAAAAATCGGATAAACGATCCGTCTCGGAAGCGGCTGACACGGTGAAGGGCCGTAGAAAGCGCTGACGGGGCGACGCTGATGAGAATCGTGGAAATTATTAATTAGACGTCGCGTGTGCGCAGACCGAACGTGCTCAGCCACCCAGTCGTCCACGTGACGACTCCAAATGCCATCGTGGACACGTTCATCCCGTTGACGACGACCACGCAGCCTCCGACCACCACCAACAGGCCCTACACGGTCAATGCACCCAGGTACAGTATTCGCGTACTCGTTACCGATCGTCCAGTTTTTTCCCGAATTATGCAACGAAAGCGTGGACTCGCGGGAATCGCAGCGCCACTTGGATCGATATTATTCCAACGAATCGATCGTGACGAATGCGACATTATTTCACGCTTTCTTCGACCGCGTCGGGAAACACGATTTCCCCGCCCCTGCATACGCGCACGAGTAGAAATCCAGCAGTGTTTACTCGGTGGGGACTCGGGCCACGATCGAGGATCGTTAAACGGTGTTACACGGCGCGAATTTCAGGCGCGGAAAAGATAAAACGCGGGCACAGCTCGAGTGCGACGCGTGAGTACGCTCGTACGCGTTCGCTTTTATTATGTACTCGCGCGCAACAGCTCGTGAAAGTGGTGGTAGATGGATCGTAACCGAAGGCGAGATCGAAGAGTTTCTCGCGGGTCTGAGTCCAATCAGCTTAATGCTGCCCCTATCGCGATCGCTACGTGGCATATATAGCGCACTCGAGTTCCGTGTAACGTTAGATCACGGCGAGTGTCGATTGGCATCTTTGATCTTCGTTCTATTCATACCGATTCCTTCGATTTCCGCGCGCACCGCGAAGCAACGGCCTTGCAGCGTCTCCATCGACCAAGACCCGATTTCGCCGGTCTCTGTATTCCGCTAAACGAAGCACTCGCTTTCTCTCCCGGTAGTCGAACATTTTCCTTTTGTGCGTCGCCGGAAACGGCACCGATTTTTCCATCTGCATTTTTCTCTCCTCCCCCGCCCCTCTCTGCCGACTCCACGCGTTTTACCTCGATTTCTACCACGCCTCCGTTATCTTCGATCCTATTCTCTGCTTTTCTTTCAGCCGAGGTCGTCCGCAGCAGATCCATCGTGGCACGGCACCACCGTAAGTCCACATTCCAGCAACGATTTTTCGTCCTTCCGTCTGTTCGGAGAAACTAGCGTCGTCGAGCGGAACGAGGTATCGGACGATCGATACGCTCGCGATTAAGATCGTGCACGGCAACGCTTGGACGTCGTCGATGCAGGAAACCGTACGAATCTTGTTCGAAAAGTGTCGTTAGAAAGTCGAGTCGCGGCCACGTACTGATCTACGTAGGATCTGGGGAGTAAGTCGGGACACGGTCGCGCAGTTTTCCGATTAATCGGTGAAATTATCGAGTTTGACCGTGCAACGCTATCATCGCGGGAGATGGGGACTGGAACGCGAAGAAAGAGCCATCCTGGAAGCAGAAGCGGACATCCGATCCGGTGGCTCGGGAACCTCGAGATCCACCGTGGCTGTCGCCTCTCGTCGAGGTGAACGAACGTGGCTGCGTCGAATTAATGCGGCTAGAAAGTTAATTGCGGAGTAAGCTACATAGCTGTCGGTATTAACGTTACTAAACGATTGTCCGCCACTGGCGAGTATCGCCGATCGCGACGGAAAGTGACGCGAGAACGACGACACGGAAAGAACGGGTACGAGTTCGTATGCAAATCGAATGATACGTCGCGACGGCTGTCGTCGAGGAAAGGTGAAATCGAGTTGCGCGACAGGAAACAATAGCTAGTTTCTGCGAACGCCGGAACGCAGGTTTCTTCGCGATCGATTCCGTGAAATCGGTAATTCGGGCTTACAGGCGATCGCGACCAACCTTGAAGCCGTCCACCGAGATCGTGTCGAAAGCGCAGGAGTTCGTCGACATCTACAGGTACCCTCCGACCAGGCCGGCGCCGATTTACCCGACTCCTCAGGTCGACAAACCGGCGGCCAAGTGTCGCAAGGACGTCTGCTTACTTCCCGATTGCTGCTGCGGCGGTGCAGACATTCCAGGTAAGCGTGCCGCACGCGAGTTATTTCCCGATCGAAGATCGGCAGCGAGGGAAGGGAAACGACCGGTGCGGTTCGCGAGGGGTACGAAGCTGTACGAGGCTGCGTACACGCGGAAAAGTCGAATCGATGTCGTTGAAAACGATACAACGTGGGCAGCCAGTGACGCAAGCGTCCGCGCGCCTCGAATGTTAAGTTTAGCCGATCGGTTTAGCAGCCACCGTGACTTTCTCCGATTCTAACGTTACGCATAACCGTTGGAACGGGCCGCTCGAAAGTGAAACAGATCCGCCTTGCCGCTCGCGATTTCGCACGTGCGCGCTCTCGAAGGCTGCTCGAAATCGAAAGCTCCCGCGTGACGCGAATCGCCAACCACCCGCCCAGGTTTCCAGAATAACCGTTAACGACGACGACTCGGTACGCGTCGCGACGACGGAACCACGCGCCTGTGAGTATCCGATCAAAGCATCCGGGATGAAGGAAGCGCGTCGCGAGTGTACGCGTCGCGACGACGGAACCACGCGCCTGTGAGTATCCGATCAAAGCATCCGGGATGAAGGGATCACGATCGTGATATTTCCCCGCGGGCGAGAGGTACGTAAGCTATCGAAACAGCCTAGCCGGCTGTGCTCCTGCGTCTGGTAGAAAGGATCGCGCAATCGCGAGTCTCGCATAAATCATCCGGAAGAATCTGCCTACGTCCCGTTTTCCATCGAGCAACGGATCGATCGCGCTTCTTTCTTCGAGATTCCGATTTTCCGATAAACGTCGTGTCACGATACGGGATAGTCCTCGAGTCTCTCCCGAGGTCTACGGATCCGAGTAGCGTAACGTCCTCGACGCCCACGCGTGTGGACCGGATATATGTGTGATGTCGTGTATCCAGGTGGAATCCCGGTCGAACAGACGCCGCAGATCGTTCTTCTGACGTTCGACGACGCCGTGAACGATCTGAACAAACCGTTGTACACCGATCTATTCGAAAATGGCCGTAAGAATCCGAACGGTTGTCCGATCTCGGCCACGTTCTATGTCTCTCACGAGTGGACCGATTACAGCCAGGTGCAAAATCTTTACGCGAACGGCCACGAAATGGCATCGCACACGGTCTCGTAAGTTGAACGGGAGGCTAAACTATATCCGCAGCTTGCGTTACGCTCTGTCCGCAGACCGGACGAGGTCACGAATGTCGCGCTTCCACGCTAAATCGCTGATCGCGCGGTACATGGTTCATCGAACGTCATCGCCTGCGCCTCTCTTCGACTAACGTTCTCCCTCTTCGACAGCGATTATCCTCGTTGTCACCTGTGCGTCTGCGCTGTGTGGTTCCCGTTGTCCGAGGTGGCCCTCGGAGAACGCTCGTGGAACGCTTCGCTCCGCGGCGATCCTCTAATTTCGCGCGCCGCGAACTGGGGCAATTTCTACTCGAGACGACCTCTCGCGGAAAAGGAAACTGGCATCCTGAATGCGCGGAAGAAACGAGCGGCTAATCTGAAAGTAAGATTCGGTATTCTATCCCGACGCGTTGCTCCGGGCCTGAGAAGCGATAGGAAAGAAAGGAGTCGATGGTATCGTAGCGCGATGTCCCTCGACGCGTTCCATCGACGGGCATCCGAGCGTTCCTCCGTGTTTCCGCAAGCAATCGCTCCGCTCGCAGACCGCCATCGTCTACTCGGCCAAGGCAATTAGAGGATCGTCCGGGATCGCGATAAAACGTGAATTGCAAGGCACGGTTGGTGAAACGGGTGCGATCGGAGATGAACGGTGACACGGGTCGCGAAGCAGTTTCACCAGCTGTGCACCGCACCTGTGCAGTGTATACTAATGACGCATACTAACCGCAACTTTTCTTTCTTTTCTCTCTTCGTTTTCTTCTCTCTTTCTCTCTCTCTCTCTCTCTCTCTCTTGCTCTCTTTCTCTGTCTGTTCGCATCACTCGATCATCCCTCGCATTCCCATCACGCAACACTCGTCGACGTACATTCACACGCCACACGATCGTCTGCCGAACGAAATTACGGAAATACGGACAATCGGTACACACGTTCTCACACGACGAACACGTCCCTTTGATCCACTTGCCCGTCCCTCGCCCCTCCGATCCGGAACAACGATTCCCGAAATAGGTGACTACCTTCCGGAGGAGATACCGCAAATCGTTCTCCTGACGTTCGACGATTCCGTGAACGACCTGAACAAGGGTCTCTACGCCGACCTGTTCGAGAAAGGACGAAAAAATCCAAACGGCTGTCCCATCTCGGCCACGTTCTACGTCTCCCACGAGTGGACCGACTACAGCCAGGTCCAAAATCTCTATGCCTCCGGTCATGAGATTGCCTCCCACACGGTTTCGTAAGTACAGAAAGACAGAAAATCACCCGGGAAGCTCGATCAACCAACATTCCCGAGTATCCTTTCGCTGATTCTATTACTCTTTCGAATATCTTTGGTTCGTACGATCGACCGGTACCAACTCGGATGAGATGAGTCGAGAGATAACGACGCGATACTGGAAGGATACTCGGTCTACCGAATCTACGAAGCACCGTGTCGATAACGTTGCTCGTTATTAGATCGTTGATCATTAATCACGCGTTCATTACCATTGAGCAATCGCGACGCTTCAACGATTCTGCCAATTGTCGGTCATCGCAATCGTTCACGCTCTGCCTATAGCCGATCAATTAGCGACTAATGCCAGCTTGATTAGCAGTCGAGCTAGGCAGCAGCTGCTTAGTCGGATAAAAGTCGCCGCTTTCGCACTTCGCTGCGGGTCAGAATGCAGGAACAGATCGAGAACCGGTCCCGAACACGCTGTAAACAGCGTGCGCGTCGATCGAAGACGCTTGTTCATTCCTCTCGATGCACGGTGGCATTTTATCCCGCGATTACCCGCTCGATCGAATTCCCTGGATTGTGACCCAGCGATCGCGTGTACCCTTCTTCGGTATCGAGTGATCAACGGGTCGTTGAATCCACGGAACAGGCACAGTTTCGGCGAGCAGTTCTCTCAGCGAAAGTGGGCGCGAGAAGTAGCCGGGCAGCGTGAAATTCTCTCGGCCTATGGAGGCGTGAAGCTGGAGGATGTCAGGGGAATGAGGGCGCCGTTCCTATCGGTAATTCTTTTCATTGGCAAAACGCGAGGAGTAGAGAGAATGGTCGGCGAACCCTAGAGATGTTTAATTCTGACGAAACAGGTCGGCGGGAACAACATGTTCAAAATGTTATGGGACACGAACTTCACGTACGACTCGTCGATGCCGATCTACGAGAACCGACCCCCCAGCTGGCCGTACACCTTGGACTACAAGCTCTTCCACGACTGCATGATTCCACCGTGCCCCACCAGATCTTATCCAGGCCTGTGGGAAGTTCCTATGGTGATGTGGCAGGACCTGAACGGAGGTAGATGCTCGATGGGCGACGCGTGCAGCAACCCGCCGACTGCTGACGGTGTTTACAAGATGCTTATCAAGAACTTCGAGAGACACTATACGACCAACAGGTTGGTCTCCGCGCGAGATTACGCGGTCGACGACGTCGAGTCGCTCTAAGAAGAAATTACCTTGCAGAGCGCCGTTCGGGTTGTTCTATCACGCCGCCTGGTTCACGCAGCCGCACCACAAGGAGGGCTTCATTTCGTTCCTAGACACCATAGTCGCGATGGACGACGTGTGGATCGTGACGAACTGGCAGGCGATTCAATGGGTCAGAAATCCTACGCCACTGCCGCTCTTACACACCTTCGAATCCTTCGGGTGTAACTATCCGGTACGTAGACACTCTTGCTTCCGTTGCTTCTGACAGGTGCTCGCACTCCGAGACTCTGGCAAACGGAGAGCAGCTTGATCTCGCTTGTCCCCTAATTGTGCACGTAACGCAGGACCGGCCGAAGAAGTGCAACAACCCGAAGGTTTGCAATCTTTGGCACAAGAGCGGAGTGAGGTACATGAAGACTTGCCAGACGTGTCCGGACATCTATCCGTGGACGGGTAAGACCGGGATACGAAGCAGTCGCATCGACAACGACGTCGATGCGCACGAATGAACGAAAAGGGGATCGGTGTTCCGTGCGATCGAGGTCCACCCAGCCGAAGAGGAGTAGCAGCGCCAACGGAGGAGACGAGACGTTTTTACTGCGATTCGATTAAAATCCCGTCCTCATTTCTCCACTAGCCACATCCCACGGAACGTATCCAGGTCGAGTACGCCAACGAAATCGACTCGAAAGCACTCCGCCACCTTTTCCCTTCTTCTTCATTGGAAACGAGTCGCGAAGAAACCAGCATCACGCGATGGCTCTTCGACGACATGTTCGGACAAATGTATCGGTCGATTTATCCATACAAAGGCATTCGAATGCACGATGGCTGAACGTTTCGAGGCTCTGCATCCTTATCAGCGAACGAAAAGAAATTTCAGGTATGCCCTGCAACGAGTCTGTCGTATATTATATTAATATACGCCGGAAGCTCGTGGTAGAAACTCTCGCGTTTCACGCAAACGATTCGAGGTTACTTTGCTAAAAACGTATTTAATCGACTTTAGCTTGGCGGGTCATAATACCGGATACCGGTGTTCTCTTGCACGATTGTTGTCGAGGTTTTTCATTAGGCAATCAACGTATCGGATGTATTCGTAATTCGCACGATCCATTAGATTCTTGCGAGAATCGAGAACGAGCATCGTTTCGTCTTGTCCTTCCCTCTACTCTCGCTCCCTTTTCTCTCCCCCTGTTCGTCCTCTTCCACTCTTCGCCAGTCATTCTTCTCGTTTTAACTCGAAGCTTGTATCCTTGGCGTACTCGGCCAAATCCGATAGACGAATTAACTAATTGTAAAGTATATTATCGTGGATGTGCAAACGCAAACAAAAGCCGGAATCGTCTGTCGCGAGAGGTTTCCTGAAATCGAACTGGAGGTTCAGCACGCGCGGAGGTCGCCTTGCAGACGAGAGAAACAAACCGTGAGAACGAGTGTTCATCTTGAACCGATTATCGCGCACACGAGGGGATCGTCGTGTATACCTTTTAGAACCTGAAACTGTAATACGCCTTTAATCAATAAATATTTCGCTACAATTCCTACCTCTGTTCCCGATCTCGCGTCGTCCTCGCTTACCGGGATAAGTCGACTGTTAGAACGTAGACATCGGAAACGGAAGAGGGAACAGAATAGTGGACCAAACGCTCAAACTGAACGACTCGATCTCCTGCCATCGAACTCCATCCGCGACACCCACGTGTTCCACCCAGTACTGCGCCATGTTGTTGTAGCTAGCCTCTTCCCAGGTCTGCGATAATCGACCCGTGTATACCAGAAAATACCAGAAAAGAGACCCCACAAAGGGGACTACTTACCCTTTTGTTCTGCTCGATCCAAGCCTGTAGCATACAGTTCTCTTGCGAGACGGCGAATTTGTTCGACTTTAAAATATTACTGGCAGATGCTGACTTCCGGCCACGCAGGAGTTCGATGTAAGCTTGGAAGAGGTACAGAAATGGCTTGATAAACGGCTGCTTGGCTGCCATGCCGTGAAGAAGCTTGATGACCGATTTCGACTTCTCTATTCGATCGAACAGATCGTGCGATTTCCGGATTGTAATTCGACGCTGGATTAACAACAAATAGCACTCGAGACCCTGTAATGCAATAGGAGAGTCGTTATTTCGCACAGGATGTTTATACGTACAATCGATTCTGCCTACCTTGATGTAGTTGCATATTTGCTCGAAGCTATCGCACGTAGTGTTCCTCAGATACTCGTCGATGTCTTTCACGAATGCGTCGGTCACTTTAACGTTCCTGTAAATTTCGTACTATGGCGTAGAATTCGCATCGAGTGCCTCGAGTACTCACATTCTCAGTTGCCAGATGACTAGGCAAGTGGTCAGCCGCAACCGGCTCTCCGGATCGCGTAGAACGCAAGTTTTGGACCTGAAAGCTGATGATCGTCGTAGAAAACTCTGATGCGAAGCCCGAGCAAGAAATTTTTACCGATAACGTTGGTGTAGAAGTCGTGACACGTCTCGTAACTCTCCAAGATCATGGCAGCGTCCAGCTGAAGTTCCATGCAGAGGGCGTAATACCAAGTGATGGAAGAATAATCTATATCCTCTTTGGAGAGGTAGTACAATTCGCACAGCAAGTCGACTGCTGCGTTTATCTGCTTCGTCCAGACCTAAAATTGTATTGAATGCAGCAACCTTGCACGAAGATGCTGAGAGACTTTACCATAATTTCTATCAGGGACGGTAGAACCACCAGCTTCGTGTTGTTCAAGTGAACGTAATTGCACATCTTGCAGATATTTATCCCAACGTCGATACCTTCTTTCAGCTTCCCCCTCAGTACCCTATCGTCGACGAACAAGTTGCAAAATTTATTTTCCCTTGTCAGAAAAATTCAAATGTTTGGGATTAAATCGATTACCTGCTCTCGTATATCGTTTGATAAATCTGCACCAGCACGATGATCTCTTCGGGTAGCTTCCAGTTAATTTTCTGCTTGATAGTTGCCAATATCGTCCTCTCTATGAACTCTCGAAAATGATACGTATGCTCTGCAAGATGACCAGTTTAGCCATCTTCGTTTCGTTCTGCAACTAAAATTTCGTCGACGAATGTTAAATCGGGCAACGAGCGTTTGCCGAAATCGTTTCGAACCATGGAGACCATAGACAGTCGTTGCAAGGAGATAGCCAGCTCTGTCTTCTCTGCAGCTTTCTCCTGAGATTTCGCACCCTTGGTGTACTGGGGAACGCCTCGTAATTTGTACAGTATCTCCTCGAGCAGAATATTGTAGCAAATCGCTTGGGACCCTTGTGGCAGCTCGCTTCTCAACACCACAGCTTCGGTATAAAACTTCTTCGCTTGGGAATAATTCCCATACGCGATATAAGCGTCACCTGAGCGAATTCCAGGAATAATTGCAGCTGCGAGCTGGCTCGCAAAATCGCGTAGAAATAAAATCTTCTACCCATCAGAATTAGACTCCTCCCTTTGTCGAAAGTCGAATCCGAGATGTCAATGTTCAGCTGTTCCTTGCTCTTGTTGCTGTAGGGATCGGACGCAGACACGAGGAATTTGGTCGCGTAGAGAGGCTGTCCAGTTTGGATCAAACCTGCGGCATACTCCATCGTGAACTTCGCGTACTTCTCAGCGTCCTCTGAAACGCGAATCCTCGTAATATCCGTGAAAGACAGCCATTGTTCCAAAAGACAGGGGACGTTACTGATTTGTACAATGTGATAGTGCAGCATCCAAAACAGGAAACTGACCACCTCCATGCACCTGCAATTGCGATAGTCCACGTAACTGAGTTCCCTTAAACGAGTCTCCCATGACTCGTCGATTAATATGTCCAAAATGGTGGCAGATCGTTTGACTCTTTTCGTAGTATCACTCACAGAGTCATCCCTGGTCGCTTCTCTGACACCGTTTGAAGACTCTACGGAATAAACGTAAAACGAGGTACAGATCTGCAAATGGAAGAACACAAGGTAACGTAGTTTTCGTCTTTACCATCGCTGTTACTGTCTACGTGGACAGGCAGGATGGAAATCCTGCGAATATTCATAGTGTCCCGTCTCTTATCGAACTCGTTGCTGTCGACGAAGATGCTTCGTCTAAAATCGAATCTGTCATGGCGACTGTGGAACGTGGTTCTTCTCCTCGTATTCTTCGTATTATTCGCCAACTGTTCCTCGCTCTTGAAAGCACGATAAACGTGACAAGAAATTAATCCAGATATGCAATGCAACCTCTATAAACTCTCAAGACGCTTACATTTTCCACGGTTTCTTCTTCCGAGGTAATTAACAGGAATTCGCCACTGCCACAGGTGGAGCACTTTCGAGCGTCCTTCTCGAAGATGCCTATAGCCTTCGTGTGATAATCCCTCTTCTCGTGTGGCGAGAGTATTTCGTAGAAGAGCTTACGGTAAGAGTATATCGTGAACTGCAGCACTTTGCAGTAAGCGTAAGGAGGCAAGGTCTTCTTGGGAAATAGGCCTGCAAAAAGATTTTAGGTCACTATCGCTGTCTAGGACGATCGAGTATATTCGGAGAGTGAACCAACGGATCGGTTGACAGTCGCAAGTGACCAAATGATGCATGTTGCTGAAGGTCTTTCGCTTCTTCAGCACGTACATCACTGAATCATCCGAGTGGTAGTATTTCCTCTGAATCATAGCGCATTCCAAAATCCGAAATCTTATCATCTCTGCCACTGCTGCAGTGTAGACAAGAGAGGTACATTGAATTTCAGGGAAATTTCGCTTGGATAAATCATACTTTCCTCTCGACGTGTAGATCGGCGTGGCATTCACCATCGCGCTGTCCATCATGCTACGGAAGAAGATGCTGCCCAAGCTAGCTGCACACTTGATGAAATCTTGTTCGTAAGAGTTCATCCTGTTGTAGATATCTATCCTTAGACCTAAAGTTTATGGTGGTTAAAAATAATCTGCGTCAAATGCGAAGAATGGAAAGTGAGATTAACGAAAAGAAGTTTGAGTTACCTATAACGTCGCGATTAGGATCGACGAAAGCTTTCTGCTTAGCAGAGGGTATGCAAACGTTCAATGCGCTCATTTGGGACCAATGCAACGGCGGTGCCAGCTCCTCGGGTGTCAAATACGCGGGAATCTTTGACAGCAGGTACTGATCCGGGAAAACGAGATCGTAATGAACCGCTTCCATCGGCGATATCGTGACAACCTCCATGGCGTCAACTTGTAACGCTGACATGAGGAACGCTTCGCACCAGCCGATCGCATTTTTACTGCGTTGTTGAAGGATCCTAGAAGAATCGAGTAATTAACTTAAAATTCATCCGACACTGACAGGAAGAGATTAACGGGTTTTTACTTCTCGAGAGCGTTAGGGATCGCGATAACGTTGAGAAATTGGCAGGCAAAAGCTGCCAAGTATTTAGACTCCAAACCGTTCAGCGTCCTGTTCATCAGCCTCTTATCTTGGCAGATGCCAGCTTCGACTTGGGTCAAATTGTCCCAGGAAACTGGCTCCATCATTGTCATCACTAGGACCACGTGGTTGTTATTCAGAGCCGAAGACAGAAACTGCCAGGAAAGCAGATCCATGTATTGCGCGTCGTCCAGCAGGATGCACACGCGGCCGATCACCTGAATCGTGATTAAAGTATAAGAAAATAATTTACTCTACCACTTTAGTGAAACAACTACGCTGTGTAACCTCGTTTAATATCTCCTCGAAGATCTCGATGGTCTTTTTGTGACGCTGCCAATCGCTATCCTCGCAATACTCCTCCGAAACCGGAAACTGTACCCTCATGATAGTGTTCAGGTAGCAGAAATTCTCAGGCTGCAGCACTTCGGACAGCGTGTATAGCAAAACCCTTTCGCGATCCTCGATGGACGTGCAATCCTCGGCATCGAAGAGCTAGACATGGAAGACAAGGTACATTTCACCATATACTGGATCGTTTCGAGTTGCCTTTCGGATTCTCGTCGATTTACTTGAAGAAACATGTGGTACAGTACGGAATAAGACTTTTCCATGTGGGACGAGTGCAAAGAAAGCTGAACGAGCTTTATCTGCCTGTTTCGAACGATCGTGACGTAAGCGTCGAGAAGCCTGGACTTGCCGGACCGTTCGCTACCCTAAGCAAGATCAAGAATGATTTCAGTGAATTAACTCTATTCGTGTTTGTAGATGTTTGAAACCTCGATAAGAAGGCCGGAATAGATCCGTCCTGACACCCCGATGTCGTCCAATATATCCTTGAAGTACTCCACTTCGCTGTAGCAGCCGAGTATGGGATAGGAGTATTCCAAGTTCGATGGTGCTTCGATTATCCTGGAACGAGAATTAGCATATTATATCACTCGTGATGCATAGTCAACCAGTAAAAGTATTACGAGTACGTGTCCGTGAATTCGTAGATGTGACATTTCCCGAATCTCCTCAGTATCTTCAAGCCTCGCGAACGGAATTTTTCCTTAGGCAAAGAACTGTTGTAAAGCGTGTCGTAGTCGCAGGATATCTACGGCAAACATCTCTGAAGATTCCCCAAAGACAAACACGGGAATCGAAAAGTCACAGGACAAACCTTGTCAAATGAAATCATCATCAAGGAAATCGCCTTGTCGATCGGCGTGCCGAAGATCATGTACTGCCTCCTGACTAGGTGACCGACCACTCCGCAGAATGCCAGACCTGTGAAACGAAATTCGAAATTAAAGACCTGACATTTAAAATTCGATGTATCGAAAGTTACCAGTCGCGACACCGATGAGAACGGTTTTAACACCAGCAACGACTTTCGTTTTCCTCATTATGGATGACGCGGTGAGCAGTCCGTTCTTTGCAAAATTCTCGTCACCTGCCTCGCTGTCGTAGCCTCTAGCTCCGAATACGATGTAAAACGAGATATCCTTCTCGTACAGATTCACCAAGCACGGGCACCCAAGGTACTTTTCCATGACACTGCGACGAGGACATAACTGCGTATGCTAATATGCCACGTCTCGAGGAACATACTTCTGGACAATTTTGAACAGCTCGTCTATCAGAGAAATCAGCTCGTACACGGTGCACTCAGTTGCAACTACGCTCACGCAAACCACCGTGATGTGTCTCACTTCCGTCAGATACCTCATCGGTTCCTCGCTCTGGACCTGGAAACGGAGCACGGGAAATTTTAGTCTCGCCAATTTTCCAATTCGCGAACTCACCTGCTGCATGACGGGCTTCAACATGTAACTCTTCAGGTTCTCGCCGATGCGTCTTCGCAGTGCGTCGACTACCGAGACCCTAGCTGTGAAAGGAACCGTCATAGTTGTATGACTAGTCTATATGTAAATCGGACACGCTTACTCTGGAAGTGAACGACGTTGATCTCAGCATCTATGGATATGTCGGACGATATGGACATTTCGGACGGCGTGTAAGCGACCGCGTGTTGGCTGTTTGACGGAGTCTCCGCGATCGAGATGGTGCTCCTTCTCACAGGTTCGGACGGTGGACCAAGCACTTTGATGATCTGCCACGCGATCGAGGTACATTTCTCAACTATTCGCAGCTAGAATCACACGCACCTTGACGTTGTTCGAGTCTTTGATCACGTATTCGTACTGGCTGGGAGCACAGTGATCCCAGGCGCTAGAGGACAACACGAGATCGCCGGGTAAACAGATTCGCCTGGCATACTTGAGCTCCTCGATCGGTTTGCCCGCAATTACGAAGTGTCGCGCCCTGTCGTCGCCGATCACGGAAAACGTCACTCTTCCCGCGGACAGCACCACGTTCACTGTCAACAGGGGAACGCCCGTCAACAGAAGATCGCCCGATCACGTGGCAACTCGATTACAAACGTTATCGTTTACCTTTAGAGGCGGACTGGTCGTTCTGCAGACTGGCAACGGCTATCTGGATCCGTTGCGCGCATAGAATCACGTGGTGCACCATTTTCGACACGAACTCGTCCCTGTTTATCTTCCACATGACCAGCAAGTTGTCGTCTACGCGCAAGGAACAACCTTAAATACCACGAATACTCGTTCCCGCGAAGTCTACGCGAGTTGACACGCGTACGAGAGAACTTCAACAGGTCCCCGTGAGACGTGTACACTTCCTCTATGATAACTTCCATGTAGTCGTTCAGCGCAGACAGCAGAGCGAAGCTACCGCCATTCTCAGCGCTGTTGTACCTTCTATACAGGTTGAAGAACTGCGTCGTGCTGATCAACCCCATCACCGAGAGGAACTTGCGGAAGTTCTTCTTGAACAGGTCGCTCTCGTATATCAACTCGTCGGGCACGAAGGTCGCCATCGTTTGAGTGCATTTATCGTTTCGATGAGTATTCAGAACCTAATTAATCGTCTCTCGCAGCATTATTTGAAGAAATATGAAAATATAGAGGAAACGGGAAACACTAACCTCGCGCAAAGTGAGTATATCTTCCCTTTGGTATATCGGCCCGATCACGTCCGGCATCCACGCGATTTTCTCGTCGATCGAGAACGGCATTATGCTGGACAACGCGTCTAATTAAATTAGGATTAATCTGATTCGATTATCGGAATATCCTTGATTCGCTCGGATTTGCTCGATTGCTTGATGCTCAGAATTTCGACGACTCGATCGTTACCTGTTTCGATGCGTCAATCGAAGGAAGCTTCAGACTTGCGCGTCAAGAATACTCGTAATGGAAGACTTTCGCAAGCCTGCGCTATAATCACGGGTGGACAGAGAAGATGGCGGGAGAGAAAGGAACGAACACAGCTGTTAGATAAATAACTTATGTATTTTGCGATTACATATTATAAGAGGAATGTCGAAACATTATTGTTACTTAAACTATGTTAACTAGTAGGAACCAGGTTTCTTGGTCGATTCGCATCATGGTTTGAAAGCAAACGTAAGAACAAAATGGCTGCACGCTCTTGCTACGCATTATACCCGCTATCTCCGAGGAGGAACAAAAATGTGGAATGAAATTCAGCCGAGAACAAAAATGCAAGTATCGTTAATGAAAGAAAACGGAATCGGTGAAAGGTGCAACGAATTATTTTATTCTTTCCTAACAAATACACCCCCGTCTCAAATTGTCTCCGATGGAAACGTGGACACGTTCCCCTGCACCTGCAACCATCATCGCAAAGAAAGATTCGCTCTCGTTCCACGGGGAAAAAATAAAAGAGCGAAAAATGGTGGTCCTTACGTATCACACCTGTCCGTGTACATCTTAGTAGAATAGAATCTCTCGTATTACAAAATATACGCATTTCTTATATACTCTTTATATAAATCGACTCGCATTTTGGAGTTTACTCGCGACGTTCTCGTTCGTTGGCCAAAAAAGTGTTTTCCTTCGACCGATCAAGTTCGATGAATTTTTATTTCTACATTTTTCGTGGTTTTTGTTTCCTTTTTTTCCTTTTTCCTTTACGGATTCCTCGTCGGTGAAAGAACGTAAGAACTCAAAATGTTGAACCGAATAAGATTCGCGGTTAACGTTAAAGAAGAACTTTGTTAAGAAACGTAACGTCGTCTTCGTTAAGAATAAAAAAAAGAAACGAGGAAAATTGTGGTTAAAACGAAAAAGAAAAATCGTAAGTTTGGTAAGAAAGGAAAGTTGCAGCCTGCTTTAACGCTAACCTCCTCTCGTCAGTGTCTTCGTTAACGTCGAAGAAAAAAAAAAAAAAAA